GGGTAATGTGGTCAGCATTACGCCGGCCGTCTTTACTTCCCCAGGACAGCCATCCTGGTACCCATTTTAGGCTGGGTCGACCTACGACGCCCCATACCATGATAAAAATCCACGCAGTCAGCAGTGGGTTTCGATCGCGATACGTTGGAATACGAGTTTCACTCGTAACACCTAAGCCACGGACGCCACGAATATGCTTATACAGAATAGTTAATAATACAGGAGATTCTAGCACTGAAATAAAGATCAATGTTACATAAACAGTATAGCAGTATAAAACGTAAGTATACATTAACATTATAGCACTAAGAGAGTAATGATAAAAGGAACATTATCGCATGGGAATAGTTGATACAAAAGGAATATAGCATTGAAAGCCTTCGTAATGCAAAATCAGCAGCAGAGGTGTTCTACTGAAACGTGGTGTTACTGTGTTCCCCCAAAAATAAAACAAGGTCTTATTTATTTTTTATTTTTTTTGCTTTTACAGAAATGCATTAAAGCTTTTTTTCATGGATGTAATTTTTTTTTTTTTTTTTTTAGATACAAAAATCTACATTTATTCAAATACAGTCATGTCATCTTCCACTCTGGGCCATAAACTGGTACGTCATTTCAAGGTCTCTTAGGTTTCTGCGAAGCTTTAGGTGTCAGGTCTACTGGGTGTTGCCACATGTTGCTCCGCCAGGAGAGGATAGTTTTGCAAATCATGTTCTGGAGAATACTTTCGGCGTTCCATTGCATGATTACGAGTGATAGAAGTGTGTCCTCGCAGTTAGAAGTGGCACTACGTCCACCCCTAGCAGAACAGGAAACCTGAGGGCTGTTAATGGCTGAGGCTTAACCTGTTAGAGATGTGAGAGCGAGTCTGACTTTCTCTTCATTGTTTACCAAAATGGCTGTTCCACAGTTGGATAAATATTTGCGAATTACCATTGCGTTAACTGTAGGTGTCGTAAAAAAAATGGTTGACATAATCCGTTTCTGGGGACAGCTTTTATCAAGTGTGCTCTCTAGACTGTTGCAGTCCCCTGTTGACGAGATTTTGTCTTCCCCAGTGGGCCGCCACGATCAAAACATTGGGAAGGAAGCGTTTTTTTTTTTTTTTTTGTGAGTAGGTCTTATTTTCTTCCTAGGGAGCATAGTATATTTGTACCGCTTTGTTTCGGTTATATATCATTGTTTTGTTTTGTTTTTTGTTCTGTTAACAAGTATAAAGGTACCACAGATGCAAGATTATTCGATTATTACTCCGTCCCACAGATTTTCCTGCCAAAGCTGCACATGCTAAAGCCAAAGACACTGGGACTCAAGTCAGTCTGTATGGCTGTGTATGTGCACCCTGGGTTCACTTTATGACCATGTGCTTGTACAGAAAGCACCAACTAAACACTTTAGTGGAAAAACTTCGCACAAGTAATTTCTAGACAGACACAGCATTTCTTCAGCCGGATATATGTAGTTATTGTTGCATAGGTATAGATACACTGTGATATGTGTTGTGAACACTGTAGAAGATGGTGGTGAACTTGCTGCCCTGATCTAAGCATTCCAAGAGGGATTCCTACACAAATTACTTGTAAGTTTTGATCTCAAGTCTTCAAGTTTTTTTTTTACATAAGAACGTGGCATTTAAGACATCAGGAACTTTATCGATTACTTCTAAAAAGCTTGATATTTTAATGTACATTTATATTGAGTGATTACAGCATACCGTGTACCTACCTTACAGGTAGATATTGTGATATTTCATAAGCCACATGTATGTTACTTTGGGAAAGACATTGTTTAATTACAGAAGCCATTGCTATTCATTAAGCAGTGGATCACAATATGTTCCTTCCCATGATGCTTTATGACAAAAATGAAAATTGATGAGGATGATTGTTTATTTCTTCCTGAACCAAGCAGCTTACAATAAATGACTGACTGACTGACTTTCTACCCTACTAAGACATCACACAAGCGATAAACACCCGATGACACAAAGTGCCACCATGGGGATGAGGATCGCCCCGGAGAGGTTCCAGAAACCGCGTTCAGACAATTGGCCATATTTATGGCCTGCCTATATTGCGGCCCCTGGCAAAAGCCAGGGTGGGGCTTCAAATAACAAAAAATTTTATCCTTAAAAGGACGAAACTGTATTTGAAAGATAGAGATTTGCACACAATAACGGTATATATAGAATATGTACCGCGAGAACAGTATAACTCACAATAACTGACTGACTTTCTACCCCACCAGGACATCACACAAGCGAAATAAACACCCGATGACACAAAGTGCCACCATGCGATGAGGATAGTCCCGTGGAGAGGTCCCAGAAACCGCGTTTCAGACAATTGGCCATATTGATGGCCTGCCTATATTGCGGCCTGTATTCAAAGTACCTGGGGCTTCACATTTGAAAAAATTACGTCCTGAAACGAAAGCAAGTGTGTTTCGGCCCATATCAAATAAATGGTGGCTTACTATTTTCAGTATTAACCCACTGCAGATAGTTGCTTTAAAACCATAACTTCATTAGGTGAGAAAGTATGAGTTTGGAGCTGAAAGATTTGACAAATCGGAACTTGGGACTGATGCTCAAAGCTGTTTTAGAATTCAGTATTGCCTGCGTATAAACTTTCATCACATTGCGTTGGAAATTATTCTTGAAAACGAAAGTGTGTTACAGTGTTGTGAGTATGAACTCAGTGATAGTCTTTTCATAATCCACTGCAGATGTGTTGGTGACCATAACAGAGATGGTTTGCTCAGCAGCGACACAAACATTTTTTTTTTAGGTTGGGGCTCTTCTCTTCATAAGTAGGTTTCATTCTGTATTTTTTTGTAATGTGTTGTTAAATGCGTGTGTGTTTATTCCTTGTGTGCGTACACCCTGTAGTTGCGTTCGCCTTGTGTATTTGTGCGCGTGTGTGTTCAATTGTCTCCCTGTGGTTATTATTTGTGCTTTGCGGTCGTGGTGTATTTATGTTTACCTTGCAAATGTCTAGTCGTGTTTCGTGCGTGTATGCGCGTTAACTGCAACTGTGTTTTTCTTTATGGTGTCTTAAATCAACAAAGAGACATAAACAATAGATTGCACAATTTATTGCCTGGCATATTTCTGTTTTCTTCTCATTGTTGGTTAATATCTTTACTGAATATTACAGCAAATAAGTGAACCTTTTATAACTGAAGTACAATTTCAACAACGATCTAACATGACTGACTGCCTGTTTTTACCAGGGCAACCGTAAAAAAAAAAAAGAACCATCTCTTTCTGAATACAGAGTTCTGGGCGCAGGTGACGAATCGTGCAAGCTTTGAGAAATCTCGAAGATACCGTGAAATATGCCAGGCAATAAATTGTGCAATCTATTCTTTGTCTATTCTTTGTTCAAATTTACAACAGGGAAACATTGCTTTGATTACGTGAATATTATCATTATATTTTGCTCGGGTCGTTGTGACATGTTCCTTCTTGTATATGTTCTGATCGGCTCATTTATCATTTGGAATTACCCCTAATCTTGAACAGCAGGTTACGTTGTTAATATCATATGCCCTAATATAACCTGTTGTATTCTTATCAAAATAGTGGCTCTTTGAGAAAGCTATCCTGAAAAAATTGTGTGCAACTGAATCCATCCAGTGTTGTTTGTTATACATTAAAAATAAGAAGCAAACAGATGTGGATACCCGCCGTCCCATTGTGGGATGTAATTTTTCGTTATTTTAAGCCCCACCATGGTTTTTGCTAGGGGCCTTGAATAAAGCTGGGCCACATGTGTAGAAATAACGGATGAAAGGGGTTTCTGGGACCTCTCCACGGGTGATCCCCATCCGCATGGTACACTTTGTGTCACATGGTGTTTATCGCTTGCGTGATGTCCTGGTGGGGTACAACAAGGGAGCAAACAGATGTATCAGCTGTGAGGTCAAACCAGCCTCATAGAATGGGCACTCAGTAATTTCTATAATATTTGGGATTTGTTTCTGTAGATTAGTGATAAAGGAAACTAACATCATATCTGTATATCATTGCCTTTAATATATAATGACTCAACATTTCCCACTCAATGGTAGTATCTCCTAAGCGACTTCTCATTTAGAACAATATTGAAAACAATAGAAGTCCTTTAGGAGATACTACCATTGAGTGGGAAATGTTGAGTCATTATGTATTTTAGGCAATGACATGACTTCCTTATGACCTATCCAGTTATTAAATGCACCCACTCAGCCTCAGTTCTTACTTTAATTAATCATTTCAAAAACTTATCTGCCTTAAAACATCTTCATTATCATCAACATCAAGTGCCTTGCCAACTGGAATGAGCGATCTTGCCTCTTCACAATCTGCGATCTGCAACTACGTCTATCATACTGTGTGTTGACACCCCTCCATACAATGACAAAAGACTGTCAAGAATCTTTTCATTCTGTCTTCCTCTGTCTCTTTTTTTTTTTTTCCAGTGGTCACATCTTGTTCCATTTTGCCTTTTCTCATTAACACACCTTAGACGATTGCTATTCAACAGGCGGCCCACGACCTCATTGCTAACTGTAGGTTATTAAATTTGTCTACGCTGAGGGTTGAGTCTCTGGCACTTGAAGTAAAGTCAGTGAAGGAAACTGTTCCACGTCTTTAGGCGTATAGGGCATATAGGGCTAGACCTATGTTGTATATACCAATCGGTACAAATTGGGTGATGTGGTCAGCGTCACACCGGCCGCCTTTACTTCCCGGAACAGCACCTGGTACCCTCTGAAGGCTGGGTCGACCTGGGAGACTAAGTCATTTTTGAAAAATTTCCGGCTCCCACAACCTTCCGACGAGAGTCTAGCTGCTCCGCCACGGCGACTCCCTCTTGCACTCGAAGATTGCTATTTTCAACATACTGGCACCTGAATAGCTCTGCCTTAGACCCAATCATAGATGTGTGTGTGTGTGTGTTTTTTTTTTTTTTTTTTAGTCACATTTTTAAAACACAGTGAGTTCAAGTAAAAAC